AACAACAATAATAATAATAATAATAATAATAATAATAATAATAATTATAATAATAACTTTATTTAAGTGTCAGGGTAAGTATTTAGCTTAGACAAAGCAGGTTGCCTTACTGAGGCTGCAGTGTTTCCTTGTTCAGAATAAGTTACAAGTAAGCACAAATACTGGTGTATCAGTTAAAGCCTCATGTCATGACAGCCTGAAAATTTTATCCCATTAGTGTGTTCTTCATCGGCCTTTTCTGGATCACAGGAACTGTGAAGTCACTGACTTGGTGGAAATCAGGTTTCAATATTTCAACGACTTTTCTACAAATAGTATCTCATAATTTTTTTTGTTTTTGTGATCAGTTCTAGAAACTACATATACCATTTTAGTAGGAGGTTTTGAAGATAAAGCATGATTATTTTATTAACAAGTGAAGCTGTTATTTTGCTGCATTTTGCAACATTGGAGTTTGCCTAAAGTATGATCACCAAGCATTTTGATGTAAAAACTTGTAAAAACACAACATAGTCAATAAACAGATTGAATCAAAACCTTGCATATTTATTTTAATGTTTTCAGTAAAGTTGGCAACATTTGAAGTAAATGCCATTTATACACACATGTACAGCAACTCAAAAAATGTTTCACAAGTGTGAATTACATGTACAAGGTAAGTATTAAATGAAAATGTCGTCAAATTAAAAATACCATTAGCAGGTTTCCACGATATTTTTTCTTACATGTAGTTTTTGCTTTCTATATAGAGTAAAATAAAAATATTAAAATAGCCTGCTATCATTCTTTTGAATAGTACAAGTATACCAGACATTGTATAATTAACATTATTATTTCATGAGTGCGCATTAGATGTAAGATGATAGATACGGTAGCCAACAAGGTGCATACTGGGGAGTTGGCTATGATCAGGGTGATGTAACAGCTCTCATCAGGTCTCACATGAACAGCTTGCTACCCTTTGAGAGAACAATAGAACAAACAACAGAAACAATGTCCCTAGCCCTGAAACAATAACAGCTGCTAACAATGAAGAGAATTACAAGCTTACAAGAGCTGCCACACTTCAGTATGATCATCTCATATCTATCAAGTGCGAGCGGAATAATAATTATTACTTTATTAAAAACGCCCCCAAAATAAAGCTGAGCCAAACAACAACAACAAAAAACATTTTAATTGTATTATCCCTGTTATCCAATAATCAAGTTTTTTTTAAATTTTATTGCTAGTGGGGGTCTTGAAAATAATTAACATGCAACTAAAAAACAATTAATGCTAGTGTTAAAAGCAGGCATCGTGTGATGTTTTGGTGAACATTAAATTCAAATACTGGTAACTTCCAAAAATTTTTGCAGCCATTTCAGTGGATGTAATTCTTGAAGAAGCTTCTCAAAAACATTAACCAATTAAGTTTTTCATCTATCTAGTGTACAAGTACGTGTAAGAAAACGAAGGGTGTTGAAGTTCACAGGTGTGCAGCTAATCCTGGTCTTGCATTTGTCGGCGTACAAGGTCGGCATAAAGGCCATTTCTAGACATCAATTCTTGATGTGTTCCCACCTTAAGAAATAAGTCAAAAAATCTAGTTTGTCAAGATCAACACTAGAAAGTGCAGCCTCTGCAAACTAGAAATGGCAATCTCTTGGTTGAGTCTAAGCAGTGCTTAAAATCAGAAACTAATTAATTACAAGTGAAAGGCAGTTGGGGGAGCAGAGGGAGGAGCTGCCAACTATCAATACTTGAGGAATAACATATTACTACCGTCTAGGTTAGTTTATTAAGTTAATTTGAGGTTGATCCACCACTCTTGAAAGAAGAGGTGATTTTAATCTTTAATTTAAACATCTTCGTTGTTATAGCCTTGAATGAAACTTACATAATAAATTGAAATACAGAAAGGTGAAGGTAAGCACTGCATACCGGTAATTATGAGCCAAATGCCCCATCAGGCTGGCCAGTGCTTATCTCTGATTTCTGTTGCAACTCGGAGTATTTCTACTCTCTCCTGAATGGGATGATAGTCCATCATAGGGTTCTCTGAGCATTAAAATTTGCCAGTACCCATTTATACAACTGGGAGGAGAAAGGCATTGTGCCTTGCCCAAGCACAATACGATGTGTCCTGGCCTGTCCAAGGCTCGAATCTGAACAATTTGATTCGGAGTCCAGCACACTTACCATGAGGCCACCACACCTCCACTAATACAGGAAGGACTTACCTCTTTTATGTTACCATGTGAAAGAACAACAATCACATCTGTCAACAAAAAAGAAAATTTCAGGACTTTTAGTACTCATCCTTGTTGCTGAGTGTAGACTATGGAGCAATACATTTTTACAGGCTTAATCTGTTATTGCACGTACTTCTGCAATATATTTGAATGCCCTCAAAAATTTTGCACTTTGCATGTCCTGGGCTATTGGACATGACTTTTTTTGCACGCTGTGTCCAACAAAAATTGTAATTTTAGTTGTACTGTATTTTTGATGGACTGATACAGGTTAATACCTTTCAGCATCTGTCTTGCACATGTTTTATTAGTCACTTGCCTATTAGTGCACGGAGGAATAACTATGATTAGTATCACCTAACTAGTGGACTAATGCAAATCCTGGATTTTGATTGGCTGCGCTACTAGAGGACTATTAGTAATAGTCCTTGAGTAGCGAAACTGGCGCAATCGAGTGTGATGCTTTCTTTCGTTTTATTCCCAAATAGATATTTCTTCAACTTGCATTTGCTAACTTTATTATTGCCTTTTCTGTCCGACTAGTTGGGTGATAATAAAACAATTAGACCCTTCACCCTCAAGGGCCACGGGTCAATAGCCCATTCAGCTTCGCCTCATGGGCTATTGACCCATAGCCCTTGCGGGCTACGGGTCTAATTGTTAATGATGATGATGATGATGATGAAGTAATACTAACCTGCATTCTGTATTGTACTAAGTCTGTGTGCAATCACTACAACGGTGCGACCTGAAAAAGATAAAGCAAAAAATAAATTCAATGTTAAAATCACAACACAAGCCTTGCAAAATATCCCCTACAAGTTATTTTCTCCCCCACATAACCTTGCTCCCAGGATGTTTCCCTTAAAAATTGGGAGGGGCCTGGGGTTGCCCCTCCCAATTTCTAAGGGAAAAGGCCTTGGAATGACATCGTCCCTTGCAGAGCTCCTTTAAAAATTATATTCTTGGTAGTTACATGTATATTTGTTCCCTTCCCTTAGAACAGTGAACTATATTCATTTGTCAACATGCGTAGCCCAATTAAGGAACACTTTCCCCTACATGTACAGTACATAAGTTTACCAAATTAACTCTTCTTTCAATATCTAAAAAAAAAAAAAATAGTTATAACCTTTTGTGACTTTATCCAGAGCATCCTGTACAACACGTTCAGATTCTGCATCCAAAGCACTGTTTGTAAGACAATTGATTTACAGAGTAAATAATACACAATCAAAATCACAAGCAACCATTTAGGATGACAC